ATTCTTTCGTGGAGTGTGCTTTTGGTCTGCTAAGTATAGTGCCATAAAGATTTGTTCCTGTGTTTTCTTTTAGGAGTTTAATATTTTTAGCTCTCACGTGTAGGTATTTTATCTTTGTTGAATCAATATTTGTAGATGGTGGTGAAGGGCAAGGATCTGACTTCCTTGTGAATACTCTTCTGCATATCAGTGCCCTTTTCTTGGTACTATTTGTTGAATTCTCTTCTTTGCCAGTGAATGGTGATTTATCATCATAATCAAATATTCTGGCATATCGAATACTCTCGGTAGCTTGCCGGGCTCTCCAAGAGGGGCGGAGGAATCGAACTCGGGTCGGCCATGTTGGCTGCGTGCAAGGCAAACGCCCTACCCGCTGTGCTATCGCTCGATATGCCAGACACAGTAACAACAAAGTCTCCAATGGAGACGTTACTGGGCCCACTCGAGCAAATCGATGATCAACGGGAGGGCCTTTACTCGAGCAAATCAAATATTATTTGATCATTTATGGGAAGGTATGTTTGTGGGTTTTGGTTTTATGTAATTGGGTTGTAAATCCTATAACTGTTTTTTTCTCAAGATTGTTTTGACTTTTATAGGTCCCCTGAGATTTCATAGAAACTTAAGGATATTTTTTCCTGTTTCTGCAAAAAATATTTGATTTTGATTAGTTGTACAGGTGCACATTGATTCTAGATCAATTTTAGTCAATTGACATTTTAACAATATTAGTTTTTCCAGTCCATGAGCATGAAATATCTCCATTTATTCACATCCTCTTTAATTTTTTAAATTTTTTTTTGCAGTTCTTAGTGTGTAGGTTGTTTGCTTTTTTTACTTCCAAGTATTTTATTCTTTTTGATGCTAAATAAAATATTTACTTAATTTAATTTTCCCATATTTTTCATTGATATTATGTTCAGACTTTAAAAAAAAGGTTTTAGTTTATTTGGATCAAACCTGGAATAACTAGTAAAATTTGTATTTCTTTTTGTCCCATTCTCTGTGAACCCCCAACAAACAATAAAACCTAAATAGAAATAAATTTTATAAAGGAAGCAAGCGTTCAAAAATAGAATTTTGTCGTACATTGGCAATGCTAAATTGGTGTTTTTATTTGGCAGAGGAGCCCAGGAGCCACTCTCAGCAATACTACTGAGCCATGGTTAGATCCAGAACCTTGGGAGGCCATGCAGTGCTAAGATTGAATTCAGGAGCCAGGGCTTGTATGTCGACACTCCACCATTTGTAGCTATCTCCCTGACCCACTTGATTGTTTTCAAAAGTCTGTGGGAATTGCGTTGGTTTAGACCAGGCCTCCTCAAGATGTATCGCTTGGCATGTTGAGTATTTTAAACTGAAGGCGTGAAAATCAAGAAAACTTTTTATCATTAACTACCCAGAAGAACTTAGAGAACCTCACCTGTAATAAGAATTGATAAACCACGAGTAGCACACCACATTTGATGGGGTTTAAAGTGGAAGGCACCCAATCTTAGGGCGAAGTATATTTATTCAGATATATATATATATATACAAATATATATATACACACATGTATATGTATATTATACTAATGTTACATATATATTATACTAGTATGTTACTAATTTCTTATAGAAGGACTTAATGGCTGCTGGGTGGATTACAACAATCTTCACATACTTTCCTCCTAGAAACCATTTTTGGATCGTTTTTAGCGGGTTATTCATAGAAAGCAATACAAAATAAATTACTTCAGTTGTACTTTGGGGGCAGAGTTTGGGGTTCGGGATGGAAACATTTTAAGTATGGTGGTGGGAAGGTGAATGGTGGTGGGATTGGTGCTTGAATATTAAATTCATAAAATATTGTGAACAATTTTATAAAAAAATAAAATGAAATTCAAAAAGAGTTAAGTACCAGGAATAAATTTTATGATCTTTCCTTATGGCAAGGCAAAATAGTTAGTGACAGTTCTTCATTTCATCATGTTAATTGCCGCCTTCCCCCATTGAAGCTTTAGCTCCTTCGTACCCCATCTTTTTGCTCAGGTGGTACGTAAGCTCACTTGACCGGAATGTCTTTAGGCCCCACACATCTGTGTGGGTGCCCTCTATGTACAAAATTGTTTGACTTCTGTTAATCTTTGTTTAATTATCTTAATAATAATAATAATAATATAAAAAAAAGAGCCTTGAAGGACCTGTTTTCTCCCATACAGAATATTTGCTTTTCTTTACTAATATCTCTGTCATGGGCTGGAGCGATAGCATAGCAGGTAAGGCGTTTGCCTTGCAAGCGGCCAACATGGCCGACCCGGGTTCGATTCCTCCTCCCCTCTCGGAGAGCCCGGCAAGCTACCGAGAGTATCTCGCCCACATGGCAAAGCCTGGCAAGCTCCCCGTGACGTATTCGATATGCCAAACACAGTAACAATAAGTCTCACGATGAAGATGTTACTGGGCCCGCTCGAGCAATCGAATAACGGGAGGACTGTGACCGTGATCTCTGTCATATTAAGATTCTCTGAGAATTTGGGACTGGAGTGATAGTAGAGCAGGTAGGCCATTTGCCTTGCACGTGGCTGACCCAGGTTTAATCCCCAGCATCCCATATGGTCCCCCAAGCACCCCCAGGAATAATTCCTGATTGCAGAGCCAGGAATAACCCCTGAGCATCACTGGTGTTACCCCGAAAAAAAGAAAAAAAAAACTCAGTACAAATTCTATTTAAGAGATATAACACATTTCCTTCCACACCTACAAGGTTTGTGTAGGATCTCCTGTGAAAATGTCTACAGATACGAATGTTTACTTTCTAATTTTACATAGTTATTAAATATTTAAAAAGTATTAGGTGTAAATTCCAAATTTTTACTTGGTAACTTCATTTGAGAGGTACTTTGGGATTTGGGCTGGAGAGATAGCACAGTGGTAGGGCAGCCGATTTGGGTTCGATTCCTCCGCCCCTCTCGGAGAGCCCGGCAAGCTACTGAGACTATGTCACCCCACGGCAAAACCTGGCAAGCTCCTCGTGATGTATTCGATATGCCAAACACAGGAACAACAAGTCTCACAATGGAGATGTTATAGGGCCCGCTCAAGCAAATTGATGAACAACAGGAGGACAGTGCTACAGGGCTTGGGTTTTGGGTGCTTCTTAATTTTAACAAAAGTAATTTATATTTTGGAGTATTTTGTGTTAAATATTTTTAGTTTTGTATGAAATATTTTATTTTTTTTAAATATTGTACTGCAGTACTATCATCCTGTTATCGATTTTCTTAAGTGGGCACCAGTAAACATCTTCATTGTGAGACTTCTTGTTACTGTTTTTGGCATATTGAATACACCACGGGGAGCTTGCCAGGCTGTGCTGTGCAGGCAGGATACTCTTGGTAGCTTACCGGGCTCACTGAGAGGGATAGAGGATTCGAACCCTGGTCAGCCACGTGCAAGGCAAACACCCTACCCAGTGTGCTATCGCTCCAGTCGTTTTTAAAATATTTTTAAATATTAAGTACTAAATTTTGTTATTTTGTATTAAATATTTGTCTTTTAGAGTTTTTGTAATGTACTGTGTCCTAGAGATTGCCAATAACTTTATAATAGGTGTGGATACTGATGTTCATATCATTAACTCACTTGTAAGTTATCCAACACATTTTTACATTGATACAGCAGTGAAGTTTAGATATTTAGGAAAGCTTGGATCAGGACTTAGAAATCAGTTAAATAAATTGAAAAGAAATCAGTTACTGATCACTTCATAACCTTGCTTTTGGTATATTTGTGTTTAAATACAACATTTAAAATATATTGTTGACTATAAGTTAGGAGCAGAAAAATAGGAGAAGGGTCAAGGTAGTTGCTTTGCACACAGCAAACTCAGTATGATTCCCAGTACTGCATATGGTTCCCCAAACACTAATTGGAGTGATCCTTGAGCACAGACCTGGAAGTAAGCTCTGAGAATCACTGGGTGTGGCCCCCGATCCGTCAACCACCAACCCAAATCCATCAACCACTAACCCCCGGGTTCAGGAGATAGTGAAAAGGTTTAAAGAGTGTGTTCTCTGCAAGTTCATCTTTATGTTCTAAATGGAGTAATATGTTACTTTACTTATTTTAACCTTTCAGAATTCTTAAGTATACTGTAATTATATTCAATAAGATGAGAAATATTCCTAACTCTTCTGATATTATTAATTCCTATCAGTTGTAGCCAAAGATACAGCCAAAAATACCTATGCTTAATAGGAATTTTCTCTTTTTTTGCATTGGCTTTGTTTACTCTTTAGTGTCCTTATTTCTACAACATAGGGAAGATTATTAAGGGGGGAAAGGAGCTTAGTTGTTACCAATTTAGATTTCATCCATTTTGTTTTGAAATTTTATTTCTTGTAAACTCATTTTCAGTACATTTTTTTTACTGTCATCTCTGTAGTTCATTGAATATAAGGAAATGTATTCCACCAATTACAGCGTTTAACAAATTTCTTCAGATAATTTATTTACCTGTTTCTTCAGTGATTTTTCTATCTCAGGAACATTGTCAGTTACATAGGCTTTTCTGGACTGTGACACAAATTATATATATTTGGAAAATCTCATTACTTCTACCTGAAGATGTTCCAAGTTTTTCATAACAGGTTAATATAACCTGATTAATTTGGATGTTGCATGTGTGTTAGTCTTAATGCCCTTCAATTAACTTTGAGGTTTATATTTGTGTGTAACTGAATATAAATCTTTTATTTAGCCTACCAAAGCATCTCATTTATTTACTTAATAATGAAGATTTTTAAGTGTTTTGTCTCGTTTGTGTATACTTACTAAATAGTTTCAGATTAAAAGTTTAATTGGCAAATGCCTAGGAGTATATGCTAAATTAAAATGTTTCTAGGATCATTTTAGTTAGATCATTATCATGCTAAAAATCACAGAACATAATTGTTTTGTCCTTTTAATATGTTTTTTCATAACTGTATTTTAATGATTTTTTTTTTTTGCTTTTAGATCATTTGGGGAATATTTTTTATTCTAGTTGCATTGCTATTTGTAATTTCTCTCTTCCTATCAAAGTAAGTATATTTCTGAAAGCACTTGTACCAGTTCTATGATGTTTTACATTTTGTAGATGAATTTCTTTAGTGTAACCCAGAATGGATATACTACTTTCTGGGGGGTGCTAAATGATCCAGTGGGGTATTAGTTTATTGGATGCAGTTTGGGAGGGGGATCACTTTCTATTTGTTTACTTAAAAAAGGTAGATTTCCAGAGTAGAGCTTCGTGAATTTTCTTTTTATTCCTGCCAGTTTGGGAAACCTTAGTAGTCTGTTCATCTTAAGTAGCTGTTTTACCTGGCACAGTTCAGTCTGAGTCATCACATATGGTCCCCCAAGCACTGCCAGGTGTTACTCCTACACACTGCTGGTATGGCCCCAAGGCAAACAAAATGGAATTTCTTCATTTCATAGCAATACCTTTAAGATACACGGAGTTTAATTTGCTGTCCCTGATTTTCTTTAGCTGCATTGAACTTGTAGGTTTATGTTCTTTTTAAATAAACTGAAAATGTGTTAGTATAATATATAAAATCACTGTAATTTTATTCTTTTTTTATTTTTATTTTTTTGTTTTAGTTTGGATAAAGCCCTGCATTCAGCTGGCATAGATTCTGGTTTCATAATTTTTGGAGCTAATCTGACTAATCCACTGAATATGCTTTTACCAATACTACAAACAGTAAGTATACAGTCAACCTTTTAATTAATTAGTTAATTTTTATTTTGGCCCACACTCAACAAAAGTACTCAAGGCTTACTCCTGACTATGTGCTCAGGGTTCACTCCTGGAGGGCTCCAGAGACCCTATTGGGTGCTGGAGATTGTACCTTGGTTGTACACAAGCAACCGCTTTACTCTCTCTCCAGCTCCCAAACTTTTAGACCCTCATGCCCTTTAAATTATATTAACATACCTATCAATACTTCTTGTACCCTAGAATAATGTTTATTTACATAGTATTTTTATATTGATGCTGAGTTTATGTATATAGGGTTTGATTTTGGAATATGTTATAAACCTATGGTGAATTTTTCCAAGCAATGTCTGCATCTGATTACTTTTTCTTCCCTCTTCTTTGTTGTTGTTTCTGTGGTGTGTACCTACAGGGATCACATACACTTAGTTGCCGTGCTTGCATGCTTGGTTTTGATGCTCCTCAGGAGTTTCAAAGTTGGTTGCTGGCTTGAATATTTTCAGTATTTTCGTTGCGTACTTGTCAGTACACACAGACTTTCCTAGTGGTGCTTGTGCACATATTGATTGGTTGCAGTCCACTGGACATTTTGCACTTTGTTGTGGCACTGGACGTCCCAAACAACATCAGGCATGTGGGATGGTACCAGGGATTGAACTTTTTTGTTTGCTTTGTGTGGTCAGTGCTCACTTTCATTCTGTACCCCGGGATCATTCTTGGCAGTACTGGGGGTTCATGTGGTGCTGGGGATGAAACCCAGGTCATCACATGAAAGGCAAGAGCCCTACCCACTGTACTATCTCTCCAGACCCCAGTACTTGAACTCTTGACGTTACTAGCCTCTCGCATGTGAGACAGGAGCTCTATTACTAAGCTGTCCCAGAGCCTGCATTTTTGAATTGGGGGAGGGGGGTGGGCTTTAAGGGAACATGGACCGCTCCTGGCTATGTTCACAGATACTGTAGCTCTGTGCTCAGTGCTCACCCCTGGCAGTGTCCTCCTGCCTCACTTTTAATTTTTAATCATGTTTTGTTCCATATATAAACATACTTATTTTGTTACAGACTTTTTTCCTTAGGGTAACTTTTTCCTTAAGATAATGATACAGAGCCATTTGTTTAATATTTATTGAATTAGTAGCTCAACTAAATCAGTGTTGATTGTAAATTATGATTTGCCAAATAGAAGTAATATGTTCCATATGATGTTTAGAGCTCTTATTATGTATTAAATTCAGTTACATCTTTTCCAGGTTTTTCCTCTTGATTATATTCTTATAACAGTTATCATCATGTACTTTATTTTTACCTCAATGGCGGGGATTCGAAATATTGGCATCTGGTTCTTTTGGATTAGAGTAAGTATGTGTTACAACATTTTTCTGCAATTTTTTCTGTTTCATGTATGCTGTGCATTATTGATAGTTATCATAGATTGATTATATAGATTATTTTACAAAAGGGATGGCAATGTAAACTTTTTTCTTAATGTTAACTATAAAAGTTCTTTTTCTCTAGAGCAGTCTTGCTTGAGCAGTTATGTTCTTGCCGCCTCTGTATACACATTGGCACTGCCTAGAGGAGACATTTTCTGTTGTTAGTATGAGAAGGTGTTGCTTAGCATTGATTGCGTAAAGGCCAGGGACTCTGTTAAGGGTCTCTTCTGCTCTCCTGACTCCAGCAGGCATATCAGCTCCAGTGTTAGTAGTGTCAAGACCCCTATTCTAGACATTGTATATCCATTAAGTGTCTTGGAATGCATGCAAGTGTATTGAAGTACAAAGAAATGCACTGGAGCTAAAAAGATGGCCCTTTCAATTTTGAGTTAAAGATTGCTGCATGGTTAGAGAAGGGGTTACTTTCATCTCTTTCTAATTGAAGATTATTGATATATAGTATGTTGATTTCTTTATATACTCTTCTTAAGATAAATTAAGAATTTCTAAATGAAGCTGTAACAGGTAAAGACAACCTCAAACTGAAAAGAAAAATCCAATTAAATAGTGACTTTGCTTTAGTACCTCAAAATATTAAGCTCAGTATCTCTGTAATCCTTTTGGATTTACTTATGATTTTAATATGGCTATTATAGCTTTATTTATATATGCAAGTTACATAGAGAAAAGAGGAGATTGGAAGAAGAGATGAGATTTATATTAATAAAACAAGACTTTCCCATAAATGTCCAGTAAATTTCTGCTTTTCTTTTAATTTTTAATATTTCTTACAACTGCCACGACTAGCAGTGAGGGATACTGGGAAATGTGTATTTTTAGGTGATTGTACTGTTATCTCATGCAGAACTGGAATTGTATTACTGAATATTGTATTATAATTAGTAAGGAAGTGGCATCTTAGTTGCTAAAAGTATGCTCTGATACTGAAATGAAACAAATTGCTAGTTTCTTGTATTTGTAAGTCTGTGTTTTAGTTTCCCTTTAAGTGTAGACACATTTGAAAGTAGATTATTATAAACAAAGTGCATAGCAGAGTATAATAGATACAAGCGTGTCATAAAAATAATTATAAATACAGAACATGTCCTAATGCAGTAATTATATAAAATCTCAAATATATTATTAAAACATAGCTTAAACTCATTCATTTTTATCTTTAATAGTTAAGATTTCTTACCTCTGAATGTGTAATGTTCTTATGCAATAAATTAAGACTATTTGGGGATAGACCGTGCAGATACTGGTATATTCTCTTACATTGAATTTATAATAGATCACTTATCTATAAATAAATGTAATAGAGAGAAATTGGTACCTTGGTGGTGGTTGTGGTGGTAACACAAATTTTGGAGGTGCATTAAATTACACCCCTAAAAGAAAAAACAATTGGATAAACCAATGTTACCTCAAATAATATACGTATAATAAAAAGACAAATATAAATATAAGTTTATAGAGGAAATAATCATCTTTATCATTATAATTATTTGAAATGATTAAAAATTCTTAGTGTTTACTTTAGTATAAGTAGTTAAACTCTGTTCCTTGTACCTTAAAACTGTGTTCCTTATACCTAACGTGCAAATGGAACTAGAATCTTGTAGATAAAATATGTTACTGAAATATTTTATTCTTTATTTCTAGTTATACAAAATCAGAAGAGGTAGAACCAGGCCCCAGGCACTCTTGTTTCTCTGCATGATACTTCTGCTTATCGTACTTCATACTAGCTACATGATTTATAGCCTTGCTCCTCAATATGTTATGTATGGAAGCCAAAATTACTTAATAGAGGTAAGTGGAAATTTTAGGACTTAATTATTTTGAAGTTTTAAAATAGTTATATTAAAACTGGAGTGATAGCTCAACAGGCTGGAGCTTTGCTTTGCATAAAGGAAGTTCTGGTTTTATGTGGTACCAACTGATCCCCCAAACACAAACAAAGCCCCGAGCATTGAGCTGGAAGGAAACTCTGAGTACCACCACACCACCAGTTAAAGATCCAACTCCCTCCCCTGCTTTAAAAAAAAAACAAAAAAAAAAGAAACAAAAGCCAAAAACAAGAGTGATGCTTAAGGAAAAAGGAACTTCAATCTTTAAGAAAGTCATGAAAAAATTGGTTCAATAGATTAAGGTTAACATTGCTAAAATTTGTTTTTCATTCTATTTTTGAGTATATTCCTAAGTCTCATTATGCTTTTAAAAAGTAACACACAGTTTCTTTTTAATAGTTGACTGTCTCATGATGCTGAGCCACTAAACTTTATTTCAACAATTTGTTAACATAAACAATATTTTCAGAATAGTATTTTAGGGGCTGGAGCAATAGTACAGCAAGTAGGGTGTTTGCCTTGCACGTGGCCAACCCAGGTTCGATTCCCAGCATCCCAGATGGTCCCCTGAGCACCGCCAGGGGTAATTCTTGAGTGCAGAGCCAGGAGTAACCCCTATGCATTGCCAGGTGTGACCCAAAAAAGCAAAACAAAACAAAACAAAAATAGTATTTTAGCTAGTTTTAATAAATTGCTCTGCCAAAATCAAAGCATGTGTATATACTTTAACTTCTTTAATGTGACAAGTATCTTTTTTTCTGTTAAACTAATTTCATATTGCTTTTTCAAGAGCCTAATAGTAATTGGGTAAATAGTTTGGAGTTTTTGACAGTCCAAATTACTTTGATCACCTATTTTTAAATTACACCAGTGCTGTTTTCTTTTTTAGTCTGTTTTTAGTCTGTTTTTTAGTCTGTTTTCTTTTCCTAAAATACCTCTCAAGCTTATTTCCTAGCATTTCAAGTCATATCCATTTTCAGGTATGGAATTTGCCCTATGGTTTATTCTGCCTTGATCATTCCCATTTATTTTTTTATATATATACTTTTTCCGGGCTGGAGCTAGCACAGTGGGTAAGGCATTTGCTTTACATGCGGCTAGCCAGGCCAACCCGGGTTCAAATCCTGTGCCCCTCTCGGAGAACCTGGCAAGCTACCCGTGGGGTATTCAATATGCCAAGCACAATAACAACAGGTCTCACAATGGAGACGTTACTGGACCCACTCAAGCAAATCAGTGAACAGCGGGAGGACAGTGACAGTGACATACTTTCTCCATTTTTTTTTTACTTTAATATGTAATTAGAAACAAAAATAGTCTAGCAAGCACATCACACTCGTAATTGTATCATTCATAATATTTCTAGGTATTTGAAACTGAGTACATTGAAAATTATTGTAGGTGGGGACTTTCCATTTACAGTCAGAAAATAAAGTGATACACAGATGGCCTAAGTGTGAGTTACATGATATGCAAAAGTCATTGACTCTTTCATTTCCCCCCCTGAGGTGCTAGGGATTAAATTCAGGCCTAACAAGCAAGGTATGTTTTCCTATTGCTGATCATTAAATTTTAGTTTTTACTTCCTTCAGCTTTTTATTTTGTCATTGCCTTATCTGTATCTTGTTCAAATAGGTTGTACCCACTAAACATCTTTTTTATTTTTTGTGGGGTTGGGGGTCCATATCAAGGGCATATTCCTGGTTTTGTGCTCAGCGCTCACTCTCGGAAGAGCTTAGGGGACCGTATAGGATGCAGGGATTGAACCTGGGTTGGCTGTGCTAAACATTTGCCCTACCCTCTGGCCACTTAAACATCTTTCTGTGCATGCATGAGTGAAGATCATTCTTCTACATGGATAAAGATTATTTTGTTGTTGTTGTTGTTGTTCTGTAGTTTACATTCTATAAATAGACCATTTCTCTGGGAGGAAGCCCCATTATTTAACATCAAACTCTAGAGGTTGGAAAAATACATTAATATTAAATTTGCTGTTAATCTTTTCTTATTTCAGTTTGACATACAATTTATCTTTCAGTGTGTTAGCTATAAATAGTTTCACAGGAAACAGTATAAAGTTGGTAGTGTTTACTTTCTAATAAAAATTATGTTGATATATTTGCATTTTACCCACATATTTTATCTTTCAGAGCAATATAACTTTTGATGGCCATAAAGGCAATTCTACTCCTGTGCCAAAGAGATGTGATGCAGATGCTCCTGAAGGTAACACAGCTTTCATCAGCTATCTTAGAATTTATAGTTCTATTTAAAATTTTGAATCATATATCAGATGCTTCATTTACTCTATGCTGACTATCTGGATTCTATTTTATTCCTTTGAAAAAAATTTTCATTTTATTTCTTTTCAGATTTTTATCTCAGACTCACATTAAAGTTTGGTCTATTCGCTAGAGCTAAATTTTCTGATCAGCTTTTTTATTTCTTATTGGAAAGTTTACTCTGACTTGTGAATATGTAACTTAGAGAAAATAAGATTGTAAGCACACTTATAAGATTTGTTTTAACTTTGCCATTATTCTTGGTTTCTAGGTATCTAATTACTGAATATATCTAGTTACTTTAATTATCTAATCGAATGTTTAATTGTCCCAGTTGTCGCAAGGTCTTTGATTTTTGAAAGCCCACAAGATGTCAAATTTTCACTTGAAATTTTAGCCAGTCTCTGTGCCAAATGTATTCTTCCCTATCCCCTCAGTCCAAAACTATGAAATGGAAAACCCTCCTGTACAACTTCAATTAAGATACAAATTCTTTATATATTGTGTAAGATGTTAAGAATTTGACCCTTATCTATATCCCTTATCATAATTGTTCTGTTCTCTATTTGCTCCAAACTCAAAACATTGACCTGCAAAACATTTTGAACTAGCTCTAAGAGGTTTGTTTGTGTTTTCACTTTGCATATTTATTATGTGTATATATACATATGCATTCAAATAAACTTTGAATATGCATTCACATAAACATGTAAGGGCTGGAGCAACAGCACAGTATGTAGGGTGTTTGCATTGCATGCAGCCAACCAGGGTTTTTGATTTCTCTGTCCCTCTCTGAGAACCCGGCAAGCTACCAAGAGTAACTGACCCTGGTTCAATTCTTCCGTCCCTCTCCGAGAGCCCGGCAAGCTACCGAGAGTATCCCGCCTGCATGGCAGAGCCTGGCAAGCTCCCCGTGGCGTGTTTGATATGCCAAAAACAGTAACAATAAGTCTCACAATGGAAACGCTACTGGTGCCTGCTCGAGCAAATCAATGAACAATGGGAGGACAGTGCTACTGCTACAGTGCTATACACACACACATACACACATATGTTTTTGGTTTTGGAGTCACACCTAAAGTACTGAAGACTTACTCTTGGTGGTGCTTGAGGGGACCAGATGCAGTGCTGGGAGATCGAATGAGAGTCATCTGTATACTAGACAAGCTCACTGAGTGCTGACTCCCCAGCCCCTGTATTTCTGACCCTAACACTTCACTCTGAGTGTTCATTTTCATTCATGTATAATTTTATACGTAAAATTAACTTTTTGAAGAAAATGGTCAAATTTTTGCAGTGGGTCATTAATAGAAAAATAAAGCTGCTCAGGATTTCAGAATTTTAAGCTGGAGAGAACACTGGAGTTAAGGCACTTTCCTTGCATGCAGCTGTAGTCCTAACCACCATATATTGGTCCCGTAGCACCATGGGTGTGGCTCCGTACCCTGCCAAAAAATAAGAGTGAGTTTGTGAATATAGTAATAGATACTCTAAAATAGTAGAAAAAAGTAATCAAAAGATGATGTCTATTCCAATAGAGCCATTTGTCTGAAAATAATTTAAAGATTTGCATTGCACCGGTAAAAGTGACTTTAAAATGTTCCTCAGGCGCCAGTGAGGTAGTATAATAAATAGGTAAGGAGCTTTTCTTGCATGCAGTTGACCCGGATTTTAATCTGAAGCATTGTTTATGTTCTCCTAGTGACACCATGCTAAGGATCATGCCTAAATCTAAGAGCAGAGCCAAGAGTAGATCCTGAGGAGAGAACATTGGAATTAAGGCACTTTCTTAAGTGTCGCCAGCTCTCCCAAAGTCAAAATAAATAAGATAGATTGCTCCTGCGTGTGAGGAAGGTGGGCTCAAAGGGCAGGAGCTTATTATTTGCATCTTTGAGTCCCAGGTACGATCCCCAGCACTGCATGGTTGCCTGAGGAGTCCTGGGAACAGGACTAGGCTAGAAACAGCCCAAATATCTCCAGGTGTCACCTCCAAAGTGGAAGAAACAAAATATCCCTGTATTGATGAACTGATTGAATTTGTTTATTATAGGACAAGAAGCATTAAACACATATGTTCAGTTATAAAATTTTTCAGTCTAGTCTAATTTGCAGTGATTAAAATTACTCCATTTGAAACCATTTAATATATTTCTCAAACATTTGCATTGATTTATGCCTTAAAATGTTACTTTGCAGTACAAATACACACCTCTTATATCTATGGATTTGATTTTTTCCCCAACTTTTTATTTTTCACCTTATCATAGCTTAAAATGTTAACTTTGTACGGACTAGAGATATGATGAGAGAAATATGCTCATTGAATTTGGGATGGCATGGTGATTTGTAATGAGAGTATTCAAATATGAGAGAAAGGATAAGAAACACTTTCGGCTATGATATTCATCATAAGGATAGAGATGGGAGGAATGGAATGTGTGGTGATGTTCTGCTATCAGTATTGAAGTACAAACCAGGAAATCTCACCAAACAGAAATAATCAACAGTGCTATTTGTGACTTTTTCATGGGAACATTTGATAAGAGGAGATGGGTATATAATAAAGGTGCCACAGAGTGCCTCGTAGGATATTTAGAAGTATAAATGAGGCACTCCGTGGCACCTTTATTATATATACCTTGCAGGTAACAGCTTTCTGAGAATGATTTTTAGATTGAGAAATAGACTCTACACTGCTGTACCTAAAATTGTTTTTGAGGAAAACTAAACTCTGGAAAGATGTTGAAACAACAGTTTCTAACAATGCACTGTTCTCGTCTTTGATAACTACATTTTGGAGATTTCTTTTTTTCACATAATATTTTGTTCATGTATAGCCTGCTCTAGTATTCATTACATAAACAGAAAAATTTATAGAAAATGGTTTTGAGTATTATAACGTTTAGGATTCAAAAGTGAGTCTTTCATTTGAAATAGATGTACCTTGTGCTTAAAATTCTCTCCTAGGGAATAGAATGATTCAGCAGTTATCTTAGGGAGAATACAAATCATACTTGGTTCACAAGGTTCTCATACAATGCTAACATTAGTTAATTTATGTTAACAGGTAATACATACATTATATGTTCAAAATGAATCAGCTGAGCAAATGGGGGGGGGGGGTGTCTTCCAGGCAATGCTTAGGCCTCTCCTTGGCCTCTCCTCCTAGCAGTACTCATTGGCTGGCTCTTCAGAGCTAGGGCCTGGAAATCCAGTGCTACCGTCCCCTGCTCTGTGGAAGATTATCCAGGCCACCTCAGCACCATGCAGTACTCAGGAGCTTCCAGAATTAACACCTGACAGTACTCAGGAGCCTCCACAGCTGTACCCTCCAGTGCACCTCAGAGCACCATGTGTTGCTGAGGATTGACCTAGGGATCAGCCACATTGCAGGCAGCACCTTAACCCAGTACTCTCTGCCTCTCAAATTTTATATTTCATCAGCCTCGATAGAAAAGGCATATTTCTGTTTCTATATTTTAATTAGTACTTAATTTTATATGCATTGATATTTTGTCAGTTGGGTGTGTGTGTGGGGGGGGTATATATATATGGGCTGGAGTGATAGCACAGCGGTAGGGCGTTTGCCTTGCACGCAGCCAACATGGCCGACCCGAGTTCGATTCCTCTGCCCCTCTCAGAGAGCCTGGCAAGCTACCGAGAGTGTCTTGCCTGCTCGGCAAAGCCTGGCAAGCTACCGGTGATGTATTCAATATGCCAAACAGTGTGTGGAAATTGCAGTCACAAAACCCACATACCCTAATTTTCAACAGATTATAGCTCAGTGAGATACGATCTGACACAGTGGAGTTTGGCCGGGGCCATGGCAGCAATTTTGGATTGTGGAAGCAAGATTTGAAGGAACTATACAGAGTGTGTATTCTCTTATATACATTTTCCTTCTCTCTCAGAGAGCGTGGCAAGCTACCGAGAGTACCCCACCCACATGGCAGAGCCTGGCAAGCTCCCTGTGGCATATTCAATATGCCAAAAACAGTAACAATAACAGGTCTCATTCCCCAGACCCTGAAAGAGTCTCCAATACAGGAGAGGCTGCTAAAATGTCAGGGCTGGGACAAATGGAGACGTTACTGGTGCCTGCTCAAGCAAATTGATGAAAACAGGAATACAGTGATAGATATGTTTGTGTATACATATACATACATATTTAGCTTAAGCCTACTAAATCAGAAATTCTAGTGATGTACTCAGTTGCCTGTATTTTAATGAGCTCTTAGAGTGATTCTAATGCTGCATTGGTCTAAAGAAAGAAGGAGGCCTTGGGGATGGAGAGATAACATAGCGGGTGGGGCGTTTGCCTTGCAAGCGGCCTACCCGGGTTTGATTTGCAGCATCCCATATGGTCCCCTGAGCACCACCAGGAGTAACCCCTGTGCATCGCTGGGTGTGACCCAAAAATTTAAAAAAAAAAAAAAGAAGAAGAAGGTGGCCCACTTAGAAGGAAGTGTTAAGTAGAGTGGCAAAAGCTACTATATACTGAGAATATTTACCTCCAAGCATCATGTGAGGGTAAACCATACATGAAATTCTTATTTCCAGAAAATCAAAAATTACATTGACCTTAGTGTCAAGAAAACCATGAAGGCAAGAATTAACATTTGTGAGAAATAGCCATAGGTTAGTAGTGAAAATACATACCATCATTGTGACTTTGTTCATTATAATTTCAGACGGGCAGAGCTGTATTTACAAAGCACAAATATAAATCCCCACTTGTGGCATGTAGCTTATTCCTAAGCTTCTAGAAATCTTCACAAATAAACACAAAAGAAGGCATTACATTAGAGTCATGTATTCAGGCACACAAATAGCACCATAACAGAACTGGAAGAAAGAAGAGAGAAAATGGCTTGAAAGTACCTGATACTGGTGTTATCAACACACACTGTCGAACATCTAATTATGAACAAAGAGATAAAAGAC